GAGAGGGGGGCAGAGGCCATGGGAAGGCGGGGGTGGCGCCCCTCCTCGTGGCCGGCATGGCGCCGATCGCGCAGAAGTCCGTGCAGGACTTCTCGTCGAAGGGCCCGGCTTTCCACGGCTGGCAGGCGCCCGCTTGGTCGCCCTGCCCCGCCATCGCTGCTTCGGCGGCCGCCCGCGGAAGGGCGGAGGGGAGGGGGAGAGAGGTCGGAGACGCAAAGGGGGGAGGGGGGGGAGATTCGAGGTGAGAGCAGTGCTGGGGGCGTCCACGGCGAGGCAGCGACCGACGGCCCTCGGGGCGGAATCCAAGCCGGGATCTGGCGCCAAAACGCGCGAGTGCAGTGGGTGAGCAAGCTGCCTTGCTCCGAGGCGGGGATCTATCAATGTCCACCGCCTGGGAACCGACGTCCTGGCGCCCCAGCGAGCGGCGGGTGTGGATACAGTTTGGCCCCAGGGGGCCCGAATATATCCACATCATATCCACCGCCTATGGAGGTCCGCGAAGATCGACCCCCCAGGATGTAGTTGTGGAGAAATCCTCGCCTCGGACAGTGGGTGCCGTGTGCAGTGTGCAGCACATCTTTGGACCTCTTCGTTTTCGTCGTCTTTGATCGGTGGCTGGTTCCTCCTTCTAAACGACCGCGCTGTTTTTCTGCGGTTGGATTGGACGGCGCCCCTGACCTGGAGGAGAAGCAAGTCCGATTGGAATCGGCCTCCGACGGATGCACGCAAAGATGTGTTGCCGCCCCCTGTGGCGAGGGCAACCGCTGGTTTCGCCGACGGCTGGTTTCGCCCGGATGGTTTCGCCTGGCTGGTTTCGCCCGTCTGGTTTCGCCGCCCGGCGAAACCAGCTACCGTCAGCGAAACCAACTTCCGTCGTCGAAACCAGCTGCCGTCGTCGAAACCAGCTGCCGTCGGCGAAACCAGCTGCCGTCGACGAAACCAGCTGCCGTCGACAAACAGCTGCCGTCGGCGGAACTGGCCGATCCGACCCGCCCGCTGGGGTCTGCCCGCCCGACCCGACCGGACCATTACGGTTCGCGCGTGCTCGGCCGAGCGTGCCACACATTTTCATGTCCCGCCCGCCCGACCCGACCCGCCCTTTAGGGTCCGATCGCCCGACCCGACCCGACCCGCCCGCTTGGGTCCGCCCACCCGACCCGACCCGCCCGTTAAGGTTCGCGCGTGCTCGGTCGAGCGCGCCCCACACTTGACTGTCCCGCCCGACCGACCCGACCCGACCGTTATGGTCCGCCCGCCCGACCCGACCCGACCCGTTCGCTAGGGTCCGCCCGCCCGACCCGACGCGTCCGTTAAGGTTCGCGCGTGTTCGGTCGAGCGCCGCCCACACTTTAATGTCCCGCCTACCCGACCCGACCCACCCGTTAGGGTCCGCCCACCCGACCTGACCCGCCTGCTAGGGTCCGCCCGCCCGACCTGGCCCGCCCACGCCCGTCCGACCCGACCCACCCGTGAAGGTCTGCCCGCCCGACCCGACCCGACCCGCCCGCTAGTGTCCGCCCGCCCGACCCGACCCACCCCTGCTCTGTCGAGCGCGTCCGTTCCTGTAGGGTCCGCCCGCCCGACCCGACCCGAGGGTCCGCCCGCCCGACCCGACCCGACCCGTTAGGGTTCGCCGGGTCCTCGCCCGACCCGGCCGCCCGACCCGACCCGCCCGTTAGGGTCCGCCCGCCCGACCCGGGTTCGAGCGTGCCCCACACTATATGTCCCGCCTGCCCGACCCGACCCGCCCGTTATGGTCCGCCCGCCCGACCCGATCCGACCTGTTCGCTAGGGTCCGCCCGCCCGACCCGACCCGCCCCTTAAGGTTCGCGCGTGTTCGGTCGAGCGCAGCCCACACTTTAATGTCCCGCCTGCCCGACCCGCCCGATAGACTCCGCCCGCCCGATCCGACCCGACCTGCCCGCTCGGGTCCGCCCCGCCCGACCCGACCTGCCCGTTAGAGTCCGACGCCCGACGCCCCGACGACGACGACGACGACGACGACGACGACGACGACGACGACGACGACGACGACGACGACGACGCCGCCCTCGGCGGCGACGGCGGCAACGGCACACGGGCAGCAACTCGCTCGCTTTCCAAAACCAAGCACAGCACGGCACGACGCGGCATAACAGCCGGGCACGGCACGGCACGGCACGGCACGGCAACACTCCCGCAGTCCGGAATCTTCGGCACGGCACGGCACGGCGCGGTACGGCCCGCGGGCACGGCACGACACGGCACGGCAAGCGGGCACGCCACGGCACGGCAACCTGTTCGCACTCTCGACACTATGCGCTGCACGGCAAGCGGGCACGGCACGGCGGCAATCTGTCGGCAGGGCACGGCACGCGGGCACTGCACCGCACCGCACGACACGCACACGACGCGGCACTTGTTCACAGCCCCCGAAACCAAGCACAGCACCACACGCGGGCGCGGGCTGCAACTTGCTCGCACTCCGGCAACCAGGCGCGGCATGGCCCGCAAGTGGCAACTTGCTCGCACTCCGGCAACACGGCACAGCACGGAGCGGCACGGCACCCGAGCACGGCACGGCACGGCACGACACACGGCTGGCAACACTGATCCCAGGAACTGAGCACGGCACGACACGGCACGCCCGCAACGACACGCCACGCGGTCGGCAACTTCTTCGCAGTGAAACGAGATACAGCACGGCACGGCACTGCACGCGAGCACGGCACGACACAACGGGCACGGCACAGCGCGGCATGGCACGTGGGAACGACACGGAACGGCACAGCAACTTTCTCGCAATCTAGACACTAGGCACGGCACGGCACGGCACGGCACGGCACCCTGGTACGGCACGACACAGCACGCGGGCACGGGCAGCAACACTTTCACATTCTGGGTACCGTAAATCGCCTTGCTGCATTCGCTGGCTCGGGGGGGGAAGATGGAGAGAAAGAGAGAGAGAGAGAGAGAGGAGACATGAAGAGCGGCAGAAACGGCGGGAGAGGGCACGCCCGCATCGCAAGAGAGGCACCTCGGCAGCCTGCCCCGACCACTGGCACAACGAATCGAGCGTCCCCTCTCTCCACTGGGGGACGCACTGACCAGGGTCAATGCAGACCCGGGCCAGTCGGGCTTTGCAAAATCCTGCGCGCTAACCCGGGTCAATGTAGCCCTGGCTCAGCAGGATCGTGCAAGATCCGGAGCCTGGCTGACCCCCGCATGCATCGACCCCCGTCTCGAGGCTCCCGATCCATAAACATGGGCGGCACGGGCCCTGGGGGAAACGGGTCCTGGATCACACGGGGCCTTCCCCCAGGACCAGATCTTCCTCCTGAGCCTCTTTTTGCCAGTCCCCAGGCCCGTAGACGGCCCCGAGAGCCCGAAAACGGCGAAAACCCTGAAGACCCGTTCCCCTCAGGACCCGTTTCCCCCCCCCGAGGGCGGCTCCGCTTCGCCGTCGCGCGGCCCCGTCACCGGGGGCAGCCGAGCTGCCCCCGTCGCCCGCGCCCGTGGTGGCCGACCCCCCCCTCTCTTGGCGGCAGGCCAGGGGTGTGCTGGCCTTCCCTCCCCCGAGGGAAGGGGGCACGCGGGGAGGAGCGGAGAAAGAAGGGAGGGAGGGAGGGACAGAGAGACGGGGGGGTGGAGAGGGGGGGGGGACAGAGAGAGGGGGCGAGAGAGAGAGACGGGGAGCGAGAGGGGGAGGGACGGAGAGAGGGAGTGGAGAGGAGGGGGTGGAGGACAGAGAGAGGGCGAAAGGGAGAGAGAGAGAGAGAGAGAGCGAGGGGGAGGGGGGAACTGGGGAGAAGGGGGGGGGAGGGGGGGGGGACCACACGGCCCATCCTTGTTGCATAGGTAGCCTCCTTCAGGGCCGTCTCGCCAGTCGCTGGGGCAGTCCTCGACATCGTCGTCGCAAAACCGGATGCCGTTGTTCTCCTCTTGTTCGAAGCTGGAAGGGTGGAGAAGATTTGGAAAGAGGAGGACGGTGGATGGGGTAGGGGAGGCAGGAAAAGGGGAAAACAGGGAGCTCCCGTCCGAGCTCGTTGGGAAGGGGGAGGGCGGGCGCATGGGCAGGGGGGAACTGGAGGGAGCGAGCGAGAAAGAGAGGGGGGGAGAAGGACGGAGAGGGAACACAGCATAAAGAAAGAGATAAATATGTATATCTGTATCTGGGAGAGAGAGAGAGAGAGAGAGAGAGAGAGAGGGGGGAACAGAGAGAGGGAGGGGAAGGGAAGAGATATCACCTGCGGAATGATAAAGGGTGAGAGATCGAAGGAGAGAGAGAGAGAGAGCGAGAAACACACACACACACACACACACACGCACACACGCACACACACACACACACACACACACACATCTGGGCGACGAACCCAACTGTATAGGAGGCATGGGCTCCTCAGAGAGGCACGGGAGGCACGGGAGGCACGCACGTCCAATCAGGACGAGCGAAGTCACTGTAGCTTGCCAATGAAGGTTCCTCCCTCCCCTGGCTCCTCCTCCCACCCCCCCCCACCAGAAGGTGGCCTTCGGTGGAGCGCCCGATGGGGCCACGGAATGAGTGAAGGGGATACCAAGGTGAGTGAGGGTGCGCATGCGGGCGCAGACAATGGGGCCTTCGGTGGAGCTCCCTACGGGGCCACGAAACGTGTGAGGGGTGTGCCAAAGGGAAAGGAGGGGCGGCATGCGAACGCAGCCACGGAGGCCTTAGGCGTAGCCTGCCAGTGCCAAGGTGAGGGGGGTGGCGGCATGCGAACGCAACCACTGCGGCCTTCGGTGGAGCTCCCTATGGGGCCACGAAACGTGTGAGGGGTGTGCCAAAGGGGAAGGGGGGGGGAGGTTGGCCGCCAACGAGGTCGGCACCCGGCCTGCGGCCTGTCAGTCTGAGCCAAATTCGCTCGCTCCGGCCAGTGGAAGCCGAGCGAGGGGGCGGGGGTGGGGGGGGCCAGCTTCTCGGCGAAGCTGGACCAGGGATCCCGCCGCCGCCCACGAGGAGTGACTAGAGGTGGGGCTTCTGATCCGCCACCTCATGGAGGGCGGGCGCCCTGGGCGGCGCTCGCGCAGCGGCGGGCGCAAGGGGCTGGCTGGCGAATGGCATCATGGGCGACGATCGCGGCGACCACGGGCTTCGCCCCGCGGACGCGGGCCTGTTCCGGCAGCGCGGTAGTCTCCGGCTGCCTGGCTAAGCACGGTGGGCCTTGGTCACCAGTGCTCGGGTGGCGCACTGGGGCTCGACTCCAATCCCGCGATTAGGTTGCGCACGATAGCCGGGGCGGCCTCCGCGCCGCAGAGCTCGATGGCGACGGCCTCGGCGGCCACGCCTTCACGCCGCGCGCGGACTCCGAAGCAGGTGTCACACGCGGCCACGAAGCCGACACCGCGGCGGGCGGACACGCCCCCATCGCGACCTCGACGTCGCAGCAGACGACCACACGGGGCGACGACGCGGCGTCGGCGAGGCGCGAGGTGCCGTGGCGGCCGAGCACGCAGGTGACCCCCCCTGCCCGGAAGCCCGACATGGCCAGGACGTTCGCGACGTCCACGGCAGAGATCCCGACGACGGACGCGCGCTTCAGCCCACCTGCCGCCGAGACGCGGCGGCCGAGCCGGACGGGCTGCACTCGGATCGCCGCGGCTGGCAGACTGCTCCTCGAACAAGAATCTGAAGGGGCCCTGGGACACACAAATAAATACACACAAATAAAAAGAATCCCCATATTTTCCTATATTGTTGGGGCTTTTGTATTCCCCTCCACTTCCTATATTTTCCCATATTTCCGGGGAATCGACGATTAATTGTGTCTGTGTGTTTCTTTCCCTCCTGAGAATCTTGGATGCGCCAGGAGAGGCCGCATCCAGCGCCCGTTTGGCCTCGCCGCTGCAGCTGGCCGCGCGGCGTCTGCGGGCGGCTGGTCGAGAGGGGTGCACCGGCGAGGCGCATCCACGTCTCGGGCCCCTCGGCAAGCACCGCTGATGGGCGCCGCTGCTGAGAGCTGTTCGGCGAACTGCTCCTGGGCGTCTCGACGGCCGCGGCGGCATCAGCCTCGGGCTCGCGCGCTGGCTGAGCGACTACGGCCAGAGACCAGTCGGCCGCGTCAGGACTCATGAAAGGCGGACTAGACTCCTCGGCTCGGCTGAGTAAACGCGGCGGCCTGAGCGCCGCGGCTCATCCGCGCGGCACGGTGGATTTCACCGCGATCGGAGGCGAGCCCGCGTCGATCTCACGTCGGCCACAAAGACGCTAGATTGCCAGTTCCAGCTCGGCAGGCAAGAAGCAGCGTCAGCGGTAGAGGCGAGCCAGTTCCTTGGAAGCGAAGCTGGCCGACAGATCGCACGCAGCAAGCGCGCCATCGGAACCCGCAGCTGGCCTCGAAGGCAACGACACTGGCGCTGAACCGCGCGGGTTTGAAAGCCTCGGGGCAAGCCGTTTGGCGATTGCGGCCTCTCTTGGCCGACGGCTGGGGCTGCGCGGGAGCACGTGGGCGCGGCGACCAGCTGTCAACGCAGGTACGCAGCCCGGCAGCCGCCTGTGGGCGGCCGGGATGGCCGCCGCCCAAATTGAAACGACACGCTGGGGGGCCGGTTGCAGACGCACTGCCACGCGGGATACTTGAGCCGAGACTAGCGAAGAAAAATCGAGAGAGAGAGAGGGAGAAAGAGAGAACAAAATGCGAGAGGAGGAGAAAGAGAGAGAGAGAGGAAAAAAAAAAATGCTACCCAAAGCGAGCCCCAAACAGTGCGTTTCTAGCTATATATGGTGCACACTCTCTGTGGAGTAATCGATGTAATGCAATATGTGTGGTGCAAGAAAATATATGCAAACGATGCGGTACAACTTATGTTGTCCCATGCGTGTAATGTGATATATGTGGTGGAATATGTGGCGCAAAACATGGTGCGCAACATTCCCCAATCAGAAGTTGCCTCTGTAGGGGTCCTAGCGGATTCATATGTGTAGGTGACCTACCTCACCGATGTCGGTGGCCGGCCCGGGTGCCCGGGTGCCCGGAGGTGCCGGGAGGTGCCAGGGGGTGCCCGGGGATGCACAGGTGCTCGGGTGCCCGGGCGCCCGGGTGTCCGGGGGCGCGGTAGCCCTGTAGCCCTATATAGCCCAAGAGACCTACAGCCCTATAGCCCTATAGCCCTATAGCCCCCATAACCCTAATAGCCTCATAGCCCTGTAGCCCTATAGCCCTATAGCCCCATAGCCTTATAGCCTTACACTCCTATAGCCCTATAGCCCCATAGTCCTATAGCCCTATGGCCCTATAGCCCTATAGCCCTATAGCCTTATAGACCTATAGCCTTAATAGCCCTATAGCCTTATAGCCCTAATAGCCCTATACTATACCCAAATAACCCTATAGCCCAATAGCCCTATAGCCTTATAGACTTATAGCCCTATGGCCCCATAGCCCTATAGCACTATAGCCCTATAGCCCTGTAGCCCTACAGCCCTGTAGCCCTATAGCCCTTAGCCCTATAGCCCTATAGCCCTATGGCCCTATGGCCCTATAGTCCTGTACGCGTGGCGCAACGTACGTGGTGCAGTCTTCGTTGTACCATATGTGTGATGCCATCTATGTTGCAAACGAGTTGACACATCCTATGCTCCTGCAAACATTCCACCCACCCACCTGCAGCTTGGTTTGCAAAACTCATGCGGCGGCGATTACGATGAGTTCTTGGCGCTGGCTGGTGCACTTCTGTGGCCGCGCCAGCCCGCGCATGCACGCGCGCGCAGCGGCCAGCTAGTTTGGCGCGACCAACGCGGCCGCGGCGGCGCTGACCTCTGGGCACGTCCCAGCGGGCTCTTCAGTGCGAGTCGGCGAGTTGGGCCGGCGCGGTATCATGGCGACGTCGACAACGGTAGACACGATGATGATGGTAGCGATACTGGTAACGATTTTGAAAACGACGACGGCACGGCCAGTGACGGCGCCGATGCTGATCACGCCGACGACGATGACGGTGTCCTCGCGTCGGCCACGAACATATTGAAGGAATTCGACATGCGCGCGCGGCCGACGCGCGAGAGTAGCCCGCATGGTCTTATTTGACACGGATCGTGCCCCCCTGCCCCCCCCCCCAGCACGTGCGCAAGGGCGTTCGAATGGTTTTGGCATGCGGCGGCGAGAGGCCCGTCTGGCAGAATTCCATGGAAGTGTTGAACACAAACAATGGTTTTCGAAGGATTCGCCAGAGCGTGAGCGCAAGCTTTGTCGAAAACTGGTGTTACAAAACCATTTGTTTTTTATCTGGTTTCGGGACAATCGGTTTTGAAATCCTTGCGAAAGTAAAGTTTTTGATCGGTTCCGACACGCGCGCACGCGACGACGCGCGCGCGCATGTCGTCCCATTTGTTGCAAAAAAATCTCGCGACAGCACGCGCGATAGGACGTTCGAACGACTTCGACATGCCCGCGCGAAGCCCGCTTGGTAGCATGTTCTGAAAATGCTGGGAAAAAACATAATAGTTCCCCGAAGATTTCGCAAGAGCGCGCGTGCAAGCTTTGTTTGAAAATCCGTGTTGCGAAACCGTGCGAAGTGCATATATATATATATATATGTGTATTGATACTCGATGTTCAAATCCCTGCGAACCCTAAACAATTGTTGACGGATTTCGGCATGCGCACGCGACGACGCGCGCGTGTGCACTTCGTCTTGTTTTTTGCAAGGGGAAGGGGAGACAAAAAAAATGATAAACGAGTGTGCGGGCATAGTATCTGTTGCAGAGGATGACGGGGGGGGTCGATACCGGCATCCCTGGGATGGTACGAATTCATATTTAGGATGGACGATGGGGCAGAATCATATTCAAATTGCAATACGAAAAAGGGGGCGTATAATCCTGGGCAGGGGGGGAGAAGTGAATTCTTTCTAAGGAAGGAGACTATATATATGTACAAGACTGCAGTGGCGCTTCGCGCCATGCACCTTGGTCCTTGAAGTTTGGTATGCAGGCGGAATGGCAGGAAGGTCAAGCCGACAATTTAGCGACAACTCCTGGTTGCCTTTCCTGGCATCGCCGCTATAATGATGTTATTCGTTATCCTTCCTCCATGCTTATTGTTCCTGATTTTCGCCATACCCTGCGCATTCTCCCCATCCTCCTCAGCTCTTTTTTGCGGAGGCCCCTCCTTGGAGAGCCTCTAGGGGCCTCACAAAAGTTGTTTCGGGCTTTCTTAAGGCCTTCTGGAGGCCTCCTGGGCGTATTCTAGGGGCCTGCGGGGGCTTCCTCGGGCCACCCTGCCTCCGACCGCCGTCTCCCTGAACGACCGAATCACGATCTGGAATTCTTCGGTGGGTGTCTTTGGCCATCTTGGGCCGCCATGGGGCTCTCTGAGGGCCATCTTGGACCCGTGTTGTGCCGTTTTGGGGTTCTCTTGGACTGCCTGGAAGCCCTTTCGGATGGTTGTGGAGCAATTTGGGAGCCTCCCAGGCAGCTTCGGACGCCCAGAACACCGCCGTCTTGGAGCGTCGGGAAGCCGAAAAGAGGAGAACCCCAAAATTCACCAAAAACCAACAGAAAATCAATGATTTTTGCCTCGGGGGGCCTTCTTGGGAGTGCTCTTGGAGGCCTCTTTGGGGCCGTCCTGGAGGCCTCTTGGGCCATCTTGAGGTCACGTCGGTCACTCTTGGAGCGCGCGCTCTTGTGCTGTCTTGGGGGTCTCTGGGACGTCTCCGATGACCCCCCTGATCGCCCTAAGTGTGCTGGGAAGGCTCGGCAAAACGCCTTGCGAGGCCCGGTGGCCGCTTCGAGGCCCGTTCGGAGGGCCCCAAAGCCCCAGGTCCCGGGAGTCCGGTTTTGGGGGGGGGAGGGGGGGACGGGTTTTCCCCCCGCCCGGGCTTATAAAAACATAGGAAGAGGAATATTGTGCAAGCTATGTGGAACAATGTGTGTGGCACAAAGAACAGAGCGACGGGGCGGCGAAAGGGGCGGCAACGGGGCGGCCACGGCGACGGCGCAGCCGCCAGACCGCCACGCCGGCCCAGACGACGGGCGGCGACGGGGCGGCGACGGGGCGGCGACGGCGACGACATAGCCGCCAGACCGCCACACTGGCCCACCTGCTTAGAACAGAAATTAGAATCCGCAAGGGCAAGCGCTGTTTGGGAAAGTACACCTATATATGTAACATATACAACATACATTGAATAACACGGACAAGTTTGCATACACATACGCATACTTAAAACATGTATGAAGGGAAAGATAGATGGGAGGGAGATAGAGAGAGAGAGAGAGACAGACAGACAGACAGACAGACAGACAGACAGACAGACAGACAGACAGACAGACAGACAGACAGACAGACAGACAGACAGACAGACAGACGGACAGACACACAAGCAGGACGACGGAGAGACAGACTGAAAGACGGACAGGCAGACTGACTGACTGACAGAGACAGAGAGGAAGCGAAGAGTACGGTGGTACCCCTACGGCCAAAATTTCGAAAATGGAGCAGATGTCGACTAGGGAGAGTATGCAGCTGTTCGATGTTTGCGCCGTATTGTTCTCGTGCGCGCTCGCAATCGCCGTCGCAGCTTCTACCAATACGCTGACACGCCCCTCTGTGTCACGACTCCATCATGCGTGTCCGACGTGGCCATTTCCAACTCTTCACAGACGCTCGAGCATGGCCACCCGTCCTTTTTAGTAAGTGCCTTCGCCTTGCCTTTCTTGGAAGGCACCTGCCGCAGGAGCTGGATAGCGAGAAGGAGAGCTAGCTGAAAGAGCGGGCCCCGATGAGAGATTGGGGAGCTGAGCTGAGCCAGGCTGAACCGTGGCAAGACTCAAAGCCGGCGAACAAATCGTATTGGGCATCTCCTCTTGCTCACGCGAGCCCCACCGCATCCAGGTCATCGGTCCAAAAGACCCCATCCTGGACACAATCCTTGAGCGTGGCTTAATGGGGGGGTCACAAATGGGGGGTCAAAAAAGGTCCCCTTTCGTGCCCCTTTCGGGCCCCTCCAGAGCCCCAGGGGGCTCGTTTAGGTACCGTTTGGGTACCTTTTCGGGCCACGCTCGCCTCCCCCCCATTTATGACCCCCCCATTACGCGGCGCCCAAAATCCGTCCTGCGGGCTAGCTCCGGCTGTGTTCACGAGGGGGGTCCCGCTGTCGAATGCCCCACCTACTCCTCTCCTCGACCCTCCCCCTGCCATCACTCCCCGCTTCTGCTCGTGCCCTCACCCTGCCCCAACCCCCACCGCCTCCCCTCCTTCACTATCACCATATCCCCATTCACCCCACTTCCTCGCCCTCCTCGTTTCTCCCTCCATCACGTCCCCACAACTCCTCACCAAAGTCCCATCCACAATCCCCCCTCCACTCTCCCATCCTTGCCCCTGTACTCCAACCCGCACATCTCCCCCCTCCTGTCTCCCCGCTTCTGCTCTGTTATGTGGCTCTGCAGAGCGTTGAGAGCACCTCACCCTTCTCCCCCCTCATCCTTCCATTATATTCCATCGCATCCTCTCTTTGTCTACACATCCCGCTGATCCACTCCACTTCCCTCTTTCTTCGCACCTCTCCATCCACTGCCTGCCCCTCCCACCTCCATCCGTCCTTCTTTCCTGAGCATCGCATCATTCCTTCCTTGCCCTCCCTTCCCTGCCCTCCCCCCCTGGCTTCCATGGCACCTCGTCCTTCGCAATATCTGAGGACTTTGCAGAGTCTGCGCCCGCCCCGTCTTCCGCCGCAATTGCGCCCTGAGCGGGGGGGATGCGACCCTGCTGCCCTCTTGTACACATGTTCGCCCTTCCCTCCCCCCCGCACTCCACGACCCCCTCCACCCTTTCCAGCCATCGCATCGTCACTCCCTTCATATGCATGCTACCCTCCCTCATCTCCTCATTTCACCCTCCACACTATTTACACTTCCGACAACGGCGACTCTTGTCACTACCCCGACGACTAGCCCCACTACTACTACTACTACTACTACTACTACTACTACTACTACTACTACTACTACTACTACTACTACTACTACTACTACTACTACTACTACTACTACTACTACTACAACTACTACTACTACTACTACTACTACTACTACTACTACTACTACTACTACTACTACTACTACTACTACTACTACTACTATTACCACTACTAACAACTACTACTACTACTACTACTACTACTACTACTACTACTACTGCTACTACTACTACTTTTAATAATAGCACTACCACTTCAACTCCTACTACCAAAACGAGTACTACTATTACTACTACGACGACTACTACTACTAATACGACTACTACTACCACTACTACTACTACTACTACGACGACGACGACTACTACTACTACTCCTACTATTACTACTACTACTACTACTACTACTACTACTACTACTACTACTACTACTACTACTACTACTACTACTACTAAACTACTACTACTACTACTACTACTACTACTACTACTACTACTACTACTACTACTACTACTACTACTACTACTACTACTACTACTACAATACTACGACTACTACTACTACTACTACTACTACTACTACTACTACTACTACTACTCAAAAAACAACTACTACACCCCTTACACTACTACTACAACTAATGCTACTGCTCTGCTAGTGCTTGCTGCTCCTGCTACTACTACTACTACTACTACTACTACTACTACTACGACTACTACTACTACGACGACTACTACTATCACCACCACCACTACTACGATTACGACTACTACGACGACGACTACTACTACTAATAATACTACCATTACTACTACTACTACTACTACTACTACTACTACTACTACTACTACTACTACAACTACTACTGCTACTACTACTACTACTACTACTACTACTACTACTACTACTACTACTACTACTACTACTACTACTACGACTACCAATAACACTACCACTACTTGGCCGCAACCAAACAATCCCTTGGAAGCATGCATCGAGAGGTACACCCAAACCCCACGACCCCAATGCGTTTCCAAGATGGCGTCAAAGCGACAAGCGACCAGAGAATGCGGCAGATTCGTGTCGCGACGACCCAGGCGGTGGTTTCAGACACCGCGTGGTTCGTTCAGCTTTGAAAGATCGGCGACCTTTAGATCGCGAGGTCGTTCAATATTCCCGGATAACTCTTTGATAGCTGCAGGGCTTTAGAATTAGGAGCCAGCACCGCAAGGTATCCCCAGAGCTCGTTCCGGCTTCCGCCCAGAGTCCCCGCTGCGCCTCCTGTGAAGTGTTAGCGGAGCTGGGCAGGCCTTTTCTGAGAGTTTCCCGGTACGTGTGCCCGGAAGCTCTCCGGAAGCTCCTGCGGAAGCTCCTGCCAGGAGCTTCCACAGCTCCTTCGAGAGGCCTTGGCACGCCATTCTGGCGCCCTGTTATCCGGGATTTGGACTGCACAAATTGGTCAATGATACTGGCGGCGTTCAACCTTGAGCCCGCAGCATGGTCGCCGCGGCGACCCAAAGAGGGCCCAGTGAGCGGCACATGGTCTCGAAGAGGCTTCCATCAGCCCGCAGGACAACCAAACTGGCCCAATCTATACGCAACGGGCGATCCCGAGATGCCTCCATGACCATGCGATGGTCCCCAGGCGGCCCAAAGTGACCGAAACATAACCAGAACACGACACCATGACCCCAGCATGGTCCGAATGTGCTCTTGAAATGGCCCCAACACACCGCCAACACGCAATCGAACTGCTGGGTGTGCATCCCACCAGGCTGAACGGCGTGTGAGATTGAACTGTGAGGGCTCCTTACACGGCTTTCGATCTCCTCCATTTTCCCGCCACCCAGAGGCATCCGCAAATCCGCCGCCCGGCTGCAGACGGCGTCCATGACGAGCTCTAACGACCGTTGCCAAAAGGCTTTCGGGTAACACTTCGGTTTCTTTCTGGCCCCGTCGGGGCCCCTTCTTGGTTTCGAAAATCGACGCCTGGGACCCTCCAAGACCCCTCTTGGGTCCAGCTTCGCCTACAATTTGGAAAATCCAAAAGACAGCTAATCCAAAAAAGGTCTATTACGATGTTCGCCTCGCCGGGAACCGTCCAGACGGCTACTCTAGCTCTCTTTCGGGCTCGCGTGGAGCTTTTTTCAACATGCACCTTTCGATTCCGTTTTCGGACGCCCTCCGTCGGGGATTGTGCCCCTTGCCCAAGGTGCCCACAGCTTGTCGCTCCATTCTGGAGCCCCAGGGACTGCCTGGGCCTCGTGAGGGGTGCTCTGGAGACCATGGGGCTCTCCCTGAAAATCCTTGGGGCAACACCCGGCTCCTCCAGGAGGACGAGGAGCAGGAGGAGGAGGAGGAGGAGGGGTGAGGAGGAGGAGGACGAGGAGCAGGAGGAGGAAGAGGAGGAGGAGGAGGAGGAGAGAGAGGAGGACGAGGAGGAGGACGAGGATGAGGAGGAGCGGATCAATTTTGAACGACTCTGGGCCCAACTTGGTTCCCGGAACGAGGCCCTAACCTGGCCCAATCCTGGCCCGCTGTTCACTGAAGTTCGGGCGGGGCTGCCGCTCGACGCGGGAAGGCTGACGCCTGGGCCGTCCACGGGCCCTCCCGGGCCGCCCCTGGCCCATCTTGGCCCCTCTGGGGGCCCTTGTTCGGGACCCCCTGGAGCCCTTGCTGGCGACTTCCGGGCCGTCTTCAGGACGCCTCGCGTCAGTATTGGACAGTGTTCTGGTCATTTCGGGCCTCCTGCTGTGGATGAGGAGCCAAGGTCCAGAAAGCCAGCGTCCATGTCACTGATCCGTTGGTAAGGATGACGGGCCGACGAGCAAACGACAACTGTATCACCTACCAACGCGGCACACTTGAGTCCGATCAGCAATGCGTTCGAGGAAAAATGGAGCGAAAAATAGCCTGACGAAGGACCCAACCATATCCAGCTGCGAGTGCCGCATTGTGCGTACCACTTTCGGTGGGGCTCCCTGTGGGGCCACGAGACGTGCGAGGAGTGCGCCGAATTCAGTGGCGCGAACGCATGTGGACAACGCCAATGGGACCTTCGGTGGAGCTCCCTATGGGGCCACGAAGCTCTGTCCTGGGTAGCGTTGACGCATGCGGCCTGCGCCACTGGAGCCTCCGGTGGAGCTCCCTATGGGTCCCTATGGGGCCACGAAACGTTGTCCTGGGTGGCGTTGACGCATGCGGCCTGTGCCACTGGAGCCTTCGGTGGAGCTTCCTATGGGGCCACGAAACGCTGTCCTGGGTGGCGTTGACGCATAGGGCCTGTGCCACTGGAGCCTTCGGTGGAGCTCCCTATGGAGCCACGAAACGCTGTCCTGGGTGGCGTTGACGCATGCGGACCCTGCCACTGGAGCCTCTGGTGGAGCTCCCTATGGGGCCACGAAGCGCTGTCCTGGGTGGCATTGACGCACGCGGCCTGTGCCACTGGAGCCTTCGGTGGAGCTCCCTATGGGGGGCCACGAAACGCTGTCCTGGGTGTCGTTGACGCATGCGGCCTGTGCCACTGGAGCCTTCGGTGGAGCCCCCCATGGGGCCACAAAACGCTGTCCTGGGTGGCGTTGACGCATGCGGCCTGTGCCACTGGAGTCTTCGGTGGAGCTCCCCATGGGGCCACGAAACGTTGTCCTGGGTGGCGTTGACGCAAGCGGCCTGCGCCACTGGAGCCCTCGGTGAAGCTCCCGATGGGACCACGACACGCTGTCCTGGGTGGCGTTGACGCATGCGGCCTGTGCCACTGGAGCCTTCGGTGGGGCTCCCTATGGGACCACGAAACGCTGTCCTGGGTGGCGTTGACGCATGCGGCCTGTGCCACTGGAGCCTTCGGTGGAGCTCCCGATGGGACCACGAAACGCTGTCCTGGGTGGCGCTGACGCATGCGGACCATGCCACTGGAGCCTTCGGTGGAGCTCCCTATGGGACCACGAAACGCTGTCCTCGGTGGCGTTGACGCATGCGGCCTGTGCCACTGGAGCCTTCGGTGGAGCTTCCCATGGGGCCACGAAACGCTGCCTTGGGTGGCGTTGACGCATGCGGCCTGTGCCACTGGAGCCTTCGGTGGGGCTCCCTATGGGACCACGAAACGTTCTCCTGGGTGGCGTTGACGCATGCGGCCTGTGCCACTGGAGCCTCCGGTGGAGCTCCCTATGGGGCCACGAAACGTTGTTCTGGGTGGCGTTGACGCATACGGCCTGTGCCACTGGAGCCTTCGGTGGAGCTAACGATGGGGTCACGAAATGTTGTCCTGGGTGGCGTTGACGCATGAAGCCTGTGCCACTGGAGCCTTCGGTGGAGCTCCCTATGGGGCCACGAAACGCTGTCCTGGGTGGCGTTGACGCATGCGGCCTGTGCCACTAGAGCCTTCGGTGGAGCCCCCTATGGGGCGACGAAACGCTGTCCTGGATGGCGTTGACACATGCGGCCTGTGCCACTGGAGCCTTGGAGCCACGAAGCGCTGTCCTGGATGGCGTTGACGCATGCGGCCTGTTCCACTGGAGCCTTCGGTGGAACTCCCTACGGGGCCACGAAACGCTGTCCTGTGGCGTTTACGCATACGGTCTTTGCCACTGGAGCCTTCGGTGGAGTTCCTCATGGGGCCACGAAACGCTGTCCTGTGTGGCGTGAACGCATGCGGCCTGTGCCACTGGAGCCTCCGGTGGAGCTCCCTGTGGGGCCACGAAGCGCTGTCCTGGGTGGCGTTGACGCATGCGGCCTGGGCCACTGGAGCCTTCGATGAAGCCCCCCATGGGGCCACGAAACGCTTGGGTGGCGTTGACGCATGCGGCCTGTGCCACTGGAGCCTCCGGTGGAGCTCCCTGTGGGGCCACGAAGCGCTGTCCTGGGTGGCGTTGACGCATGCGGCCTGGGCCACTGGAGCCTTTGGTGGAGCCCCCCCCATGGGGCCACGAAACGCTTGGGTGGCGTTGACGCATGCGGCCTGTGCCACTGGAGCCTTCGGTGGAGCTCCCTATGGGGCCACGAAACGCTGTTCTGGGTGGCGTTGACGCATGCGGTCTGTGCCACTGGAGCCTTCGATGCAGCCCCATATGGGGCCACGAAGCGCTGTTCTGGGTGGCGTTGAGGCATGCGGCCTGCCACTGGAGCCTTCGGTGGGGCTCCCTATGGGACCACGAAACGCTGTTCCCGGTGGGTGAAACGCAAGGAGGTAACGAGGCGGATGGGAGGAGGGAGGAGGGGGAGGAGAGGAAAGGGCGCTGTCTATTCAAAACGACGACCCAACACCACAGGATGGTTGGGAACAAGTGCACACACGTACACACACAAACGCACACACACACACACACACACACACACACACACACACGCACGCACGCACACACACACACACACACACACACACACACACACATACGTTCAAAGCAGACCTCTCCACCCGATCTCGCTCCACACACACACACACACACACTTTCCAAAACTGTCTAACAGGATGCGGGTGTTAGCACAACTAAGACCAGTGGCGAAGGCACCTAGACGAGTGAGAACCAAAAAAAGACGACGGCATAGCGGCGAGGCCTCAATGGCGCAGGCGCGAGGTGTAGAAATCGCGAGGATCGGGATGGAAACGACCAGCGGTCGAGCGACGTCTCTGAAAAGAAGTGCAGCACACACCCACATGCGAACAATAAATCAAACAATACATCAAACAAACAAACACACAAACAAGTATCAGCCAGCGTTGACTCCAAATAGATGGGAGGACAGGATGAGGACGAGAAGAGGATGGGAGGAGGAAGAAAGGAGGACGGGAGCAGGACGGGAGGAGGACGGGAGGAGCAAAATCAAGCAAGCGCAAGCAAGCAAGCGGAAGCAAGCAAGCGCAAGCGAGCAATAACAAGCAAGCAAGACCCAGCGATCAAGTGCAAGCAAGCAAGGGCAAGCAAGAGCAAGCAAGCGCGAGCAAGCAGGCAAGAGCAAGCAAGCAAGTGCCATTGGAAAAAGGAGGGGGTGCCATTGGAAAAAGGGGGGGGCATTGGAAAAACGGGGGGGGCTAAAGACCATTTACATATTATGAGCTGGGGATCCTACAGGGCAAGCCTATGTTGAGAACAAGCAAACAAACAAAGCACATACTTACACACCACCACCACCACCACCGCCACCACCACCTCAACCAAAAGCACCCACCCATCCCGCTCTCCACCAGCCAAGAGCAGCGAAGGGAGAAGCGGAAGAGGACGAGGGGGTGGCAAGGCGGAGCAAGGGAGCGGAAGGGGAGGAGGCAGCAGGAACAAAGGGGGGAGGGAGGAAGGAGAGGGGAGCAAGGAGGGCGGGAGGGAGGGAGGGAGGGCTGACCAATGGTCCCTGACACCGCTTGGATCGTTCCCGTCGCCGCCCCGTCGCCGCCTCGTCGCCGCACTGCTTTACGCTGCTTTGCACTACTCTGCATTGCGTTGCAGTGATTTGCGTTACTTTGCATTGCTTTGCGGTACTTTGCACTGCTTTGCGATATCTTGCATTGTATTGCATTGATGTGCATTGCTTTATCTGCGTTGCTTTGCACTCGCTAACATTGACTTGCACTGTTTTCTTCTCTGCGACACTTTTCATTGCCTTGAGCCACGTTTTTTATTTATTTTATTTTTTAATATATATATATATATATATACATATATATAATATATATATAAATATATATATATATATATATATAAAAAAAAAAAAAAAAAAAAAAAAAAAAAAAAAAAAAAAAAAAAAAAAAAAAAAAAAAAAAAAAACTGACAGAAATGTCACTCTTTGGGGCCCACGGTGGCTAACACTGGGTTTGATATCGATAGTTTCTGGGCCGCTGGCGGCGGTCGACCTTGAACGCCCGCGCTGGGGTCGCCGCCGCGCCGACGCGGAGCGAACCTACGGCACGGCCCCTTCACCCATGCTGGCACCCCACCCCTCGAGCCTCGTCCTTGTCGGCCGGCTTCTTCAGCTTCTCCAGAACATCCGCTGGGACGGTGCCGATGACGCACTGATCCTGCGCCGCGCGCTCTGGTCCGTCTCTAGCCCGAGGGGCCGCAAACCGACCCGCACGGACAGCAAAAAGTGAAAAGACATGCTCGCGCACATTTCTTTGTCATCTCCTCACTCTCCTCGTATCCCTCCCTCCTGCCCTCACCTCGGCAGTTCAAAAATCGAAGATGGGGCCCTGAGGGATGGGACCCCACGGGCGAGGACGGATCCCAGGCTGCATCTGCACTGCTGGAGGCCCCTCGTGCTCAGGGCCCCCTCTTTCGTGGCCCCATCTTTGAACCGCCACACCTCGCCCCCGGCGCCTCGCGCTGCGTCAACACCGATCGACCAGCCTCCACCCTCTCCGCAGGCCGGGCGAGCCTGGGACGCCGTGTTGGGCTGGGCCGCCGCGCCGCCTCGGTGCAGTGCCGGCGCAGAAAATGACGTTGCACTTGACGAACGAGCAACACACACCCATACTCATAGGGAGGTCGTTGGGAGGAGGACTGGCTATGGGTATGGGTGCGGGTTGTCGGACCCTGGGGAACGCTCCCGTTCGAGCGGGGACCCCATCCGACAACACGCACCCATAGCCCTCACCGACCCCTCTATGGGTATGGGGGTGTGTTGTTGGTTCGTCAGCACTTGGTTGTAGCGTCAGGCATCGAGAACTGCACCTGCCGTAGTTATCCGAGGTTGTGAGGGGCGAGCCTCGCCCCTCCGCCTCAGTTTCCGCGTCCTCGTGGGAGAGGATCAGCTTCGCGATGTCGTCTGGCGATCCTTGGGTAACCTACCTCGGCGATGGTAGCGGAGCAGGGGCTTGCTCAAAGGTCGGCTTGCTCAATTTCGATTCAAAGCGGGCCGAACCAAAAAAAGGTCCACAAGTACTCATGGCAGACACCGGCGCGCGGTCACGACAGATGACAAGAGCGACCACACGATTTTGCGACCATGGTGAACAGAAAAAGGTTGTCTTCTGGTGTGCAACAGCCTGATTTGGACTATCACAAAGTCGTCGCACAGGCCATGCTTTTGCTGTAAGCGTTCGCATAACACTCCAAAATATTGTGGTAGCATGCTGGAAATATTCGCAAAGCATGCTGGAAGTATTCGCTTTCGCGGACATACGACCTTCTGATCACAGCACAAGAAGGCTCGGCGAGAACAGCCTAAAGCGGGCTCCGCAAAAGCAAATTTCGGCCACGGAAGGAGAAAGGAGGAGGACGCTCAGATGGTGAACAAATTCGTGACCGAACACTCCACACCTCCACACACACACACACACACACCGTGGTTTGATCCGCGGCGGTGGGAATGATCGCACAACGGTCGGGGCAACACTCTGCACAAATGGCACGGCCCTGGTACCTTGACACAGGACGCTCTCCGGCAGATCACTACGCATGCTAACAGCAAGTGGATCACCTGTGAAGCAACCTCGTTCTTCTGACACACAGCTGAAGAAGGCTAACGGGATCGCAATCGATCCAGAAACAATTCGTGCAAACAAGTGGACGGCAACTAGAGGAGGATTATATCAGATGGAACCGTGGCCAGGCCATATCTTCTCGCGATACCATGTTCCAGGACAGTTACAAAAGCTGGCAGTCCAAACAATTCCCTCTGATAGCTGATGTGCCTTGCATAATATACTATAATATGATATAATATAATATAATATAATACAATATAATATAATATGATATAATATATTATAATAGAATATAATACAACATATATATATATATTGTATTATATATAATCTAATATAATACAATATAATATGATATACTATACTGTAATGTGATATAATATAATACACTATGAAATAATATAATATAATATGATATAATAAGATATAATACAATATAATATTATATGATATTATATTATATAATATAATATAATATAATATAATATAACAAAATATAATATAAAATATTATAATTTAATATAATATAACATAATATAATACAATGCTTTATAATATATTACAATATAAAATAATATAATATAGTACAATATAATATAATATAACATAATGCAATATAATAAAAATACTATAATATATTATAACAAAATATAATATAATGAAATATAATATAACAGAATATAATATAATATAAAATAATATAATATAATATGATATAATATACAATAATATGATGTAATATAATATTATATGATATAATATTATATAATATAATATAATATAATACAATGTAATATAACATGATATAATATAATATAATATAATACAGTATAATCTAATATGATATAATACAATATAATATAATATAATATAATATAATAGAACATACTATAATAACTAATCATATAATGTAATACAATATAATACCATATAATAGAACATAATATAATATATTATATTATAATACGATATAATATAATATAATGTGATATAACATAATATGATCTGATATAAAATAATATAATACACATACCTATCTACCAGAACCACGCGCGCTTCGCGCATGCTCAGGTTCTAGCGCAGACCCGGGCAGCGGCTCAACAACGGACAGGTCAGAGTCAAATCTCGAAGTCCGATCGCCACGGATCGCCAAGGGGAAGGCCCTTATCGACTGTGTCATGATCCTCCTTTACTGCTCATCCACCTCTTCCTCCTCCCAATTTTCATCACGATGCCTTCTCCAACTGTTTCGCCGTTCGCCTATATATTATCGTTGTTATATTTCTCTCACTCTCTCGCTCTCTCTGTCCCTCTCTCTCTCTCTCTCTCCAAACGTCATCCTCCACCCCCCTCGTACTCCACCTTCTCAAATCTAGTCCTCTTGCGTCTCATACTCCGACGCCTTCTCCTGCCTCTTCCCATGAGTTATTATATCCCTCTCTCTCTTCCTCTCTCCTTGGTTTCCTGATCATCATCATCGCCATCAATATATGCATCACTCGAGGCGACGGACGGGTGTAAGGATGATCAAGGAGTCGGGCAGACTCCCCTCCCCTCCCTCCCTCTCTCCTCTTGTGTTCCAAGGTACACAACGTTGATCGGGAAGTAGGACCATCTTGGACGCTTTATTGGAGCTCTCTTGCGCCGCTTTGGGGTTTTCCTGGGCCGTCTTGGGGCCCTCTTTGGCCGAACTGGTGTGGATCTTAAGCTTGACCGCATAGCTGGCCCACAATCCTTGTAATGTATGCTGCGTCCGCACTCCAACGGTCACGATCCCTCATAGGTTGCGCTGCGCCTGCGCTCCCAGGGCAGTGATCCCTTGTAAATGTCATTGGGCTCGTGCTCCCGAAGCCACATGGGGCATCATTGGGCATTCACGACAAGAACCCATGTAAGAACACGCAGCTTCAGCTCACGGGCGAAAGGAATCCGTGGGTTTTGACGGTTGCCACGCTCACGGGCGTCAGGAACCCATGTAAAAACACATGGCTCCAGCTCTCTCAGACGAGGCCATCGCTCCAGACACCCCTGGCGATTCCTGCAGAAAGAGCGCTATGTTCGAGACATCCTCAACACAATAGGGGTTGAGTCACATACAACATCCTGAAGTTGCGCAGTTCGCTCGATGCATCCTCAACACTTTCTGCATAGAAGCGAAGCTCCCGCTCGAGACATCATCACAAATTGCCCAGAAATGAGGCTCCCGCTCAAGACGCCCTCAACATGTTTGTTCGCCAGCCCTACTCACCAACCAAGAAAGAGCCAGTCATGCTGCAGGAATGCTGGTGTCTCGTGCACCATACAGCGATGACGCATGATCGGCAGTGCCCTGGGCCAGGCCAACTGAACCTTGATTGGGAGGCGGAGTGGAAATTGGGGAGGGGGGAGGGGGAAGGTGGTGGGCGAAGGGGACGTAGAGGTGGTGACCCTTTGTGCTGCTCGGAGTTCCCCCCCGCCCTGCACGAGGACCGTCCGATCGACACCCCTGCGCCTGCGGCGCAGACTGCCCGCGCGAAGACCCTCCCGGTGTGACGCGCGGTCCGGGCACGACTCGAGGTCGAAGGGCCCGGTGGCCGCATCCGCGCAGCCGTCGTCTGCCCCCGCGCGGCGCGTGCGCGGCAAGAGGGGGCGTCAAGGCTAAAATCACAAGGAATCAATCCTCCTCCTCCTCCTCCTCATCCTCCTCCTCCTCCTCATCATCATCACCATCATCAGCATCATCACAATCAGCATAACCATAATCGCCATTGCCATCGTCACCACCACACAACATCATAATCATCATCATCATCATCATCATCATCATCATCATCATCATCATCATCATCATCATCATCATCATCATCATCATCATCATCTCATCGTCATCATCATCTTCATCATCATCAGAATCATCAGAATCAGCAGCGGCGTGAGCATCAGCATCAGCATCAGCATCAGCATCATCTGCATCAACATCGCCATCACCATCAGCATCCTCATCATCATCACCACCATCATCATCACAATCATCATTACCATAATCGCCATTGCCATCGTCACCACCACGCATCATCATCATCATCATCATCATCATCATCATCATCATCATCATCATCATCATCATCATCATCATCATCATCATCATCATTTTCTTCATCATCAGAATCAGCAGCGGCATGAGCATCAGCATCAGCATCAGCATCATCTGCATCAACATCTGCATCAACATCGCCATCACCATCAGCATCATCATCATCAACATCATCATCAGCATCAGCATCATCATCCATATGAATATCAGAATCGTCTCGGGGATCTTCTGACCCGGGTCAATCCAGACCAGGGTCAGTCAGGGCTTGCGCAGAATCCTGCAAAATCCTGCACCCAAACCCGGGTCAATGCGAAGGATCCTGCAAAATCCTGCAGGATCCTGCACCCAAACCCGAGTCAATGCGACCCTGGCCCTGAAGGAGCCTGCAAGATCTGGCGCTCTGGCTGACCCCCGTTTACATTGACCCCCGTCTCGAGGCTCCCGATCGTCAGCATCATAATTAGCACCGGCATCATCATCATCATCATCATCATCATCATCATCATCATCATCATCATCATCATCATCATCACAATCGTCATCATCAACAGCATCGGCTTCAGCATCAGCCTCATCATAGTCATCACCATCACCATCACCATCATCATCATCACCATCAGCAGCATCATCATTATCGTCATCATCATCGTAATCATCAGCCTCGTAATCATCAGCATCGTAATCACCAGCATCACCAGCAGCCAACACTCCGACCTCTCCTTGGGCTTCGAAGCCGGCATGGCGTGCGGGCAGATCACGGGCCCTCTGCACATGTTACTCGCCAAAAGCTTCAAATGGCCCGATCGTTTACCATAGACGGCATTTTATGGCGATGTGCACTAGGCCTTCGGCCACCTACGTCCGTCAGAAGTGGCTGCCAGCATGAACCGCCGGAGAATGCATCCTCGTCTCTCCGCCGCTCTTCTCCGAGAAGGCTGCGAGGGACTCATGGAGGCGCTGTTCGACGATAAGGGACGACCCCTGTTTCAACAGCTGCGAAAGGACAGGCTCCACGGACGCCCCGCTCAAGCGGAAGTGTCTCCTGGCCGATGCCCTCAAGGATGCCCCTCCCAGAGGAGTCGCGGAGGAGCTCGGCGCATGGAGTGGCGACCGGCGCTGGACGCATCTGGTGCGGGCGGACAACATCTACCTCTTTTGGAGGCCTGGAAATTGGCACCGACACCAGCACAGGGGGTTGCCTCCACATGGGAAAAATGATCCCAGATTTCGGTGTTGGTGGCAATATTTCGGTCACCATGGAAACCAAAATATTACCACCACCACCGAGATCGGGATCGTCTTCCCTCGGTGGAGGTACACCGCCGATCTTGGTGTTGGTGTCAACCTCTAGGCCTGCGACTCTTGGCGCGGAGAGGCCGGCAGGCGATGCTCACGGCGCAGCTCTCCACTCAGCATATTCCGAGCGGCGCCGGCTCTGCCTGGGAGCCGTCGTCTGCGGGCACGCTCTCTCGCACCGCGCGGACCTCGCGGAGGAAGATTGGGAGGCGCTCCCCCCCGGCCGCGGCGGGCTCCGGCCGACAGCACTGTTTGCGAGCGTGGGAACCCGACAGGCACGAACGTCGTTACCTGGTGGTGCCCAAGGTTACGGAGACCGTGAAACTGGACATGAAGGTGAACGGGTCTGGTGATACGCGAAACGCTGCCGTGCAAGAGAAGGTCCGTCTAGGCCAGGCCGCTTTCTTCAGTGACCCCTGCCTGTTGTCTACTTCCTTGTCCCCGCGTGAGCGCATGCTGCGCTATCGCGAACGGTTCGTGCCTGTGTTGACATACATGGGTGGGTACTCATTTATGCTACGAGCCTGAAGCGATTGTACCAACTTGAAGGCGGATTTCTACGTAAATTCATGCGATGGAAAAAGCACCTGGGGGGGGGGGACACTCTGAAAAGTACTTCTCAAAGGCGACCAGAGCGGCCAAAGAATTGCATGTCTCGTTGGGACGCTCGCTGCTTCCCGAGATTGTGTTGACTGCACACCACCGTCTCGCAGCAGGTGCCTCTGGCCAGCTTGGTCCAGAAGACCCATGCCCGCACTCGTTGCCTCGACAGTGGCTCCGGTCAGTTCTCAACTTGTGGCCAGACATGGAATTGCGCACAACGTCACACTTGCTTCGGGAGGAAATCCGACAGGTCGCCACTGAGACAGGCTTGTCCTGGGGGGCGGTCTCTCCTCGACTGGGACATCGTCACGTCAGACACTGGCTGGGCTGGAAGCGACTGAGCATGTGGGAAGACCTTCTGAATCAACACGCGGGCCCCGAGTGGCGCTCCCTGACATGGGACCCAACGGCGTGGCAGGCAGGGCTACCGCAATCTCTGACCAAGGCAATGGAGCATTGCGGAATCCAAGTGAGCAGGAGTGCCACGCTTCGCAAGAAAGCGACGGCGTCGCGCGACGCGGCGTGTGCTGAGCGCTGGGCAGCGAGCACTGTGCCTCCGGATGTTGTCCACTGGCAGCAGGGCCAAGAGGGGCCACTGGACTTACCGGAGGGGGGAAAAGCAGCACTGGCGTTGCCGCACATCAAAGGGGACAATATCGCTGTCTGCAACTGGGTGAACGGTCTCTAGCGGTTGTACAACGACCGTCTGCGGCCGCCGGTGACGAGGGCGATGCGACTCCTACACCAGCTCTTCACCACCCGCATGGACTTTCCAGCTGAACTTGGAGGCGATTACCTCCGCCATGGTTACCGGGAGCACAACGCCAGAACAGACGAGTTGGCGTCATCGGCGATAGCGACACGGCCGAGTCAACACTGTGTTGCGCCCGAGGTGTGGCTCTCTGCGACTCGCCCCTGGCACCTGGCGTCATCAAAAACATCAACATCAGCATCGCCATAATCAGCGTCATCAACAGCATCAGCACGAGCATCATCACCATCACCAGCAGCATCATCGTCATCAGCATCAGCACTATCATCAGCATCATCAGCATCACCATCATCAGCATCAGCAGCAGCAGCAACATCGGTATCACCATTAGCATCATCCGCATCATCGTCATCATCATCATCATCATCATCATCATCATCATCATCATCATCATCATCATCGTCATCGTCATGGTCGTCATCATCATCACCACCACCATCATCATCATGATCATCATCATCATCATCATCATCATCATCATCATCATCATTATCGTAAACTTCATTATCATTAGTACCATCGTCATTATCATCACCATCATCATCATCATATCCAGCATCAGCATCACCATCGCCACCATCATCATCATCATGATAATACGGATCTGCATCAGCATCATCTTCTCTATCACCATCACCATCAGCATCAGCATCATCGTTGTCTCCATCACCATCACCATCAGCATCAGCAGCATCATCGTCATCAACGTCATCATCCGCAGCATCAGCATCAGCATCAGCATCAGCATCAGCATCAGCATCATCACCAGCACTGTTGTCATCATCATCGTCATCATCACAAGCATCAGCGGCAGCATTAGCACCAGCATCGTCATCATCGTCATCACCGTCATCATCATGAGCAGCATCTGCATCAGCATCGTCAGCATCATCATCGTCATCATCATCATCAGAATCAGCACCAGCATCAGCAGAACCATCAGCTTCGCCATCACCATCATCATCGCCACCACCATCATCAGCATCAGTCGCTGCATCAGCATCAGCAGCATCATAATCAGCATCATCAGCATCGGCATCCTCATCGTCAACACCATCATCAGCATCCGCAGCATCATCAGCATTATCGTCGTCACCATCGTCCTCAGCATCTGCATCAAATTCACCATCAGCATCAGCATCCGCATCAGCACCAGCATCACCGTCATCACCTGCATCAACATCAGCATCAGCATCAGCACCGTCATCACCATCATCATGCATCAGCATCAGCATCAGCTTCGTCATCATCATCAGCCTCATCATCACCAGCAGCATCATCAGCATCAGCAACCGCATCATCCTCGCCATCATCATCCGCATCGTCATCAGCACCAGCATCATCATCATCATCATCATCATCATCATCATCATCATCACCATCACCATCATCATCATCATCATCATCATCATCATCAGCATCATCATCATCATCATCATCATCATCATCATCATTTTTCCCCCAGGCACAGCTTCATCATCAGAGGACACATCTGTCATAGTTTGCATAGCGGGCATTCGGCAAAAAGTCGTCCACTGCCATGTCGGCAGATGTTCGGCGCACGCAGGGATGCAGGAGCCTGGCAATACTTGCAGTCGAACCTACAGTCCGATGGGTCACCAGTTTTGCAAACAACACACTGGCGAGATAAAGGCCCAGGGTACTCAACGAGGCAAGAGGCACTGCACGAGAGCTCCTGGTCGCGATCACGGACCAGCACAGCCAGGCGCTCGTTAGGTAAGGCACGAAGAATCTTCACAACCTTGTCATTGAGCTCAGGAGCCGATTGAAGAAGGGCACGATGCGCCAAGTCCCCCTCAAAATCCGAAGGACCACAGTCGAGCTCGACACAAAGAGACGCTATAGTGTGCTCTTTACAGGGTCGCATGGCTGCAATCTTTGCGCGTAGCTGAAAAAACGGCCGCCACGTAGAAGCACCTCCTGGCCACGACAATTAAGCACTGGCAAGGGCGACGCGGGTGCATCAGAAGAGCCCCAGGTCGTGGACGTAGGCGAAGCGGGAGCGAGTCGATCAGCCCTCTGCGGGGCTCGAAGGACGCGCCGAACAGGCACTGCACAAGGAGATTCATGACGGACCGGCATCACATACACAGCATTCGCAGCAGTGGTCGAGCTGGCGGCGGCCACCATCTCAGATGTCATCTCAGACAAAGCCTCTAGAATCTTGTCCGTGCCAACAGAATTCGTAATTTCAAGTGTATCATTAGCCTCGATGTTCTTATCAGTATCCATGAATTGCTTGTCGTAGTCCGCTTTAAAAATGTCAGTAGACGGATCAGGGAGAGCACGAAGATCAGGACATAGAGGAGCATCACATACAAGCTCTGCGCACTGCGGGCGAAGAGGGCGCACCGATTTTGCAATAGTAAACAACGGACATGTGGAAGTCAATGCATCACCGTTTTCCGACAGCAAACTCGAAGGAACCAACCTACCCAAACAAAGACGACGACGCTTACTCTTCGGCGGCGTGGTACTCACAACCTGTTGCCAAACTCCAGATGGTGAAGGGTTCCTCCACCGTCGGTACCGAACAGAACTTACATGGTGCGTACTGCGGATTCCAAAATAAAGTGGGGGTCACATGTGGGGGGGAGTCTGATTTGAGCTGTCTTGGAGGGTTCGGGGGGGTCTGGGCAAAGGGCCGCGCTTTCATGGATGGTTTGGAGGGGTCTAAGACTTCTCGTCTGGGAGGGTTGTGACCCCCCCCTTTTATTACGAAATCTGGGGTGACCCCTTCCATCCTCGAAAAGGCACTGGACGAGAACTCACCACACTCGCGAGCAACCCGAACAGCAAGACCAAGACAATGCCGATGAGGGAGGCCGAATTCCTGCTCCAATGATTGCTGAAGAGCGGCAGCGGAACCAAGCTGATGAAGACGATGTTCCAACTTCTGGTTGCCTGGCGGCGAGAGAACTCAAATTTCCACCTCATGCTTCAGAGAGAGGAGGGAACGAGCAGAAGCAGCAAACGATGCCGACGTCGAAGTCGAAACTCTCAACTTCTTACCCAGAATTCGTAGGGCATCCAACGCGGAATTCACAGAATTACTACCAGCAGCAAAATGCACATCACGCTTACGCGGTAGCATGCTCGAAGGGGCGCAAACACGTAGCAACTCAAGGCAGGCCTGAGCCAAAATGGCTTGAGCCAAAATGGCTACGGATCATCATCATCATCATCACCACCATCACCATTATCAGCATCATCATGATCAGCATAAAATCATCATCAGCAGCATCAGCTGCATCTTCATCATCCTCAGAATCGTCATATCATCATCTTAATTTGAATCAGAATCAGTATTAGCAGCATCGTTATCAGCATCATTAGCATGAACATCAGCATTAGTATTCGCATCATCACTGTTCCCCCTCTAACGCATGGTTCGGGCTGGGCAAAAGGGCGCATCTCGTCCGTCTGAGCATCCGTCTACCAATCGAACGGTCTCCCGTCCTTTGAAATATGCTAAAATCGCCAGCTTCCCAACTGATGGGAAGGGGATCCCTCGATGCTACAGCGTCGCACCGAGGCCGGCACAGCCAAGGCAAGTCGGCGAGGCCGTGTGGAGGAGGAAGACGAAACGACGACGACGAGGACGACAAGCGGACAGGCCACGAGGCCAGGAAAGGCGAGAAAGACGAGGGACACGAAGAGGAACGACGAGAGGGGAATGTCGGCTGATGAGAGCCCGGAGGCCGCAGATAGGCCACAGGGGACGGAGGGAGAAGCCGCGCGCCAGTAGCCGCGCCCCGCCCACGCGGCGCGCAGCACGCTGCGTGCTTCGATGCCTCGGACCAGGCACGGGGGAGGGAACAGAGGAGGAGGGGGGAAAGGAGGGGGGAGAGAACATGGGAAACTGGACAGACGCAGGTGTGCGGCCCATCTCTCCGGCGCGCAGTCTCGCGACGGCCAGAGAAGAAAAAAGGTGCAACTTTGTACCGACTGATTACCGCACAAATGACCCGGCACACAAGGAGGGGGGAGGAGGGAGGAGGAGAAGGGACGGCAACGGCAGCGCCTGCTGGGTCGCACGGCAGGACACTTCGCGCCGGCGCGCGGCCTCCGGACCCAAGGGAAGGGGGAAGTGCGAGAGGAGGAAGAGGGGTGGGGGGGAGGAGGCGGCAAGCAGCAGGCAAGCAGGCGGGGGGGCAGGCGAGCGGGCGGCGGGGGGGCGGGGGAGCACGGCCGCGGGGTGTGAGCCACCAGCCCCGCTGTTCGGCGCACGTGCGCGGGGGCGGGCGGGGGCGGGTCAGGAGGGGGGCGACGGTGGCGCGGGAGGGGGCGCCTAGGTGGCGCCCTCCTCCCGGTCGGGCCAAAACGCTTGCACTTGCCTGGCGGCGCGGCGCCAAAGCTCCGTGCCGATGGCTGCGGCCAGCCGCCTGTACCGCCACTCCCCGTCAGAGCAGCCACGTCTCCGCGATTATTTCATCGCGAGAGTGCGGAGGATGGCTGTCGTCCGGGGGTGCGGTCAGCCTTAGCAGGTGTAGACCAGCAGCTGGTAGGTGATGTTCTGCCGCGCCAGAACGTCGGCGTGCGCCGAATAATACTCGACCTTACGCCGGTACATGGTGGCCGCGCAATCTGGCCCGGCCGCCACGGCGTCGGGCGAGGCAATGCCCACGTCGAGGGCCAGGAGGCCGTTGCCGAGGGCTCCGGTCAGCACGTCGGCTGGCCGGAGGCGCGTGCCTGGCACCAGGCCCGGGGCCTCAAGTTCTGCGCCAGGGTCGCAGACTCTGGCCGCAGCGTGCACCCGGCGCGCAATCGCGTGGTGCCCCCGCGGTGATTCCGCGCGGCAGCAGCAAAGGGCGTGCGACCCTGCCACGTCGAGGATCGCCTGGCAGCAGAGGCCGCACGGGACCGGGTCCAACGGCCCGGCGGCGCCGACGCGGAGGCGCAGGGCCTCGGTGAAGTCAGGGCCGTCCATCACGGGGCCCTTGTGCTTCGAGAGGTTCCAGAGCCAGGAGTGGTCGCAGTCGGGGTGCTCGAGGTCGTCGAGCCGCCGAAGCGCCGCGTCGTCCCCGGCGTCCGCGCGCCTCTTGCGAAGGTCGTGTCGTCCGTGCTCGTCGAGGTAGCGAAGAAGGGCCCGCTGCAGGTGTAGCTGCCGCGTGCGCGGGGCGGAGCTGGGGTGCTCGTCGTCCTCGTCCTCGTCGAGCGGAAGCAGGTTGCGGCCGATGCCCCGTGGGCAGCCGTGGCGCTCCTGGGGCGCGGTGGCGGGCGCCTCCGCGCGCTGGTCGAAAAGGGCGGCACCGACCCTCGGCTTCCGCGGCGGCCTCCGAGAGCGTGGCCACGACGAGACCGCCGACTGTTGGCGGTAGACTGAAGACAAGGCGGGCCGCGGCGTCGTCTGTGCGCCTGTCGTACTCGGCCATGATGACTCCTGCCTCGCCCAGGCCTCTCTCCGTGAGGTGCGTGGCCATCTCCCGCACGTGAGGCCTCGAGCACACGCGGCTGGCCACGAAGGCCGCGAGAGACACCTGCGAAGCGGTCCGCATGCCAAGGCCTCCTGTGGCCACGCCGAGTGAGCACTGCTCCGACGCCGCGTCGGGGAGGGCGCCGCCTGCGACGAGCTGCACGGCATCGCGGAGGTCGTCGTCGAATTGCTGCAAGTGGTTGTCCTTCACCCTGTCCCCGTTGAGCCGTAGCTGGTAGGAGAGCTTCGACACGTCCGCGCAGAGCCTCGTGAGCACCAGCTCGGCCGCATCATCATCATCGCCGACACTATCAGAATCATCAGCATCAGCTTCAGCATCAGCATCCTCAGCATCATCCTCATCATCCTCCTCATCATCATCATCATCATCATCATCATCATCATCAGCATCAGCATCAGCATCAGCATCAGCATCAGCATCATCATCATCATCATCATCATCATCATCATCACCATCATCATCATCATCATCATCATCATCATCATCATCATCATCATCATCATCATCATCATCATCATCATCATCATCATCATCATCATCATCATCATCATCATCATCATCATCATCATCATCATCATCATCATCAGCATCATCATCATCAATCATCATCATCATCATCATCTCATCATCATCATCACCATCATCATCATCATCATCATCACATCATCATCATCACATCATCATCATCATCATCATCATCAATCACCATCATCATCATCATCATCATCATCATCATCATCATCATCATCATCATCATCATCATCATCATCATCATCATCATCATCATCATCATCATCATCATCATCATCATCATCATCATCATCATCATCGTCAGCACCATCAGCATCAGAATCAGCAGCAGCATCATCATCGTCATCATCAGGGTCACTATCATCATCATCATCATCATCATCATCATCATCATCATCATCATCATCATCATCATCATCATCATCATCATCATCATCATCATCATCGTCATCATCATCATCATCATCATCAGTATCTGCATCATCATCATCGTCGTCATCATCATCAGCATCAGCATCAGTCTCAGCATCAGCATCGTTGTCACCATCAGCATCATCATCATCAGCAGCAGCATCAGCATCAATATCAGCATCAATATCAGCATCATCAGCATCAGCATCAGCATCAGCATCAGCATCGTCGTCAGCATCATCATCACCAGCATCAGCATCATCATCGTCACAATAATCATGATCATTATCATCGACATCAGCATCATCATAATCGTCGTCGTCGCCGTTGCCATCACCATCATCATCAACATCATCAGTGCTGTCATCATCATCATCATCATCATCAGCAGTATCATCAGCATCCTCATCATCGTCATCATCATTGCCATCATCCGTCCTCTGGTTTTGTTGCGACGACCTGAGGACGTGACCTCACGCATGCCCACGCAATCTAGGCTCGCTGGAGGGGCAGACGGTGCCGAGTACGACAGCGGGCATCAATCGAATGCTGTAACTGTGTCCTAGAGGAGGCGCCAGACTAACAAATCGGCAAGCTGCTTGAGGAGGAGCCAGCAGAAGGAGCACGAAGGGTAGGAGAGAGGAGCCGGAAGGTGAGGGGAGAAAGCCAGCCCGTCCGTGTGAAGCCTGGCTGGGAGCCAGCGCAATTCCCCCGGGTGCTCAGCACCGGCCCCCTGGCAACGACCGTTCCTGGGCTTGGGCACCGAACAGCGACAGCTCCTGGAGGGAAGGAGGAAGGCGCTGGTCGGGAGCGACCAGCGGGCCGCTGCACCCGACCCAGGCCGGAGAGCATCACGCACCTGGCCGCCCTGGCGCTTCCAGGGCGGCGGAGACGCGCGAGGCCTCGGCGCACTCAGAACACTCCGCCCCTGGCCAGGCCCAGCGCGGGCCCGGGCTCGGCGCAGGCACGGTGCTCACCCCCCTTGGGGCCCAGGGTGCGCCCGGCCAGGGCCGGTGCATTCTGGCAAGATCTCGTCGCCCGGGGAGGGCCTGTCGGGCTCGGAGCAGGGTGGTCTGGCAGCCTCGGAGCAGGCAGCGCCGAGCGTGCCTCCACCACGGGCGGGGTCGGAGAGCACAGTGGCGAGGCCTCTGCGACAGCTGCTGGGGCGCAAGCGAAGAGAGGCGCGAGTGGCAGATCATGCGCCGCAGAGGCGGGGCGACGGCTGGCCGCACATGGACGCCAGACCTGCTGCCAGGGACGCATGTGCCATCCGTATCTTCGGGGCCCCAACACCGCGCCGTAACCTCGGAACCTCCAACGACCTCACCGCGAGACCGCGAGATCCGTCACCGCACGGTTTTGGGACCCTGGAGGCACCAGTCGCCCGAGACGTCCTCGGAAGACGACCCGAGCCCCAAAAACCGTGCAGCGACCCCGAATCCCCACCGACTGACCACGCGGTGTGGTCACCACACCGTTTGAGGGAGGAGGAGGAGGAGGAGGAGGAGGAGGAGGAGGAGGAGGAGGAGGAGGAGGAGGAGGATGAGAGAGAGAGGAGGAGGAGGAGGAGGAGGAGGTAGGAGGAGGGAGGAGGAGGAGGGAAGAGGAGGAGGAGGAGGAGGAGGAGAGGAAGGAAGGAGGAGGGGGAGGAGGAGAGGGAGAGGAGGCGGAGGAGGAGAAGGAGGGAGGAGGAGGAGGAGGAGATCAGAGGGGGAGGGGGAGGGGGAGGGGGAGGAAGGAGGGGGAGGTAGGAGGAGGGGAGGAGGAGGAGGGAGGGAGGAGTAGGAGGAGGAGGAGGAAGGAGGAGGAGGGGCGGGCGGCGGGCGGCGGCGGCGGCGGCGGCGGCGGGCGGCGGGGCGGGCGGCGGCGGCGGAGGGGTGAAGAGGGAGGGGTGGGAGGGGAGGGGGAGGGGGACGGGGAGGGGGAGGAGGAGGGGGAGGAGGACAAGCTAGGTGCGCTCGCGTCATATCTGACATACTACCCCTCCCTCCTATCCCTTACCATGGCGTAGATCCCCTCTCTACTCGCACAGTCGGATGTCGAGCAGGGCAAAGATCCCGCAAGGGTACGCGATGCATTGTAGAGCACGGCATGGCATGGCGTAGAAGACACCGCAAAGCGTAGCATCAACCTAGCATTGCATTGCATGCCGTGGCATGGCACGGGAAATGACGCCAGCGCTGCAGCGGGGGCACGAATCGGAACGAGCGGAAGCGCGGAAATGAGGCCAGCGCTGCAGCGGGAGCACGATTAGGAACGAGCGGAAGCACGGAAATGAGGCCAGCGCTGCAGCGGGAGCACGATTCGGAACGAGCGGGGCCCGAAAATGAGGCCGGCGCCTCAGCGAGAGCCGCATTTTGGAAAAAATGCAGGCGAAATCCCAACTCTGGGGAATCCTGTGCGTAAAAAACAGTACGCGGGGGGGCTAATATAACCGTCATCAGGGGAAGAGGGAGAGTAGTATTCATATTGAGTAATTGTGGAGGGGGAGGAGGAGGAGGAGGAGGA